TAAAAGTTGAAAACTAAGTAAGAATCTATTTCAGCCGTTAAGGCACTATAGGTTTTCTTAATTTCAAATCTCTTTTACATTCTGGCAATTTCAATTAAGGATGTGATTACTACTTCCTCTTTGAAAGCACCTAATATTTTACGTATCTTTTATAGAAAATGAAAAATCTCATCAAATTTGAGGGGTACATGTCAAATGAAGAAAATGAAGCAAATAATGATAACCCTTCTCAAACTGAAAACAAACAGTACTCATCTTCCTGGCACTACAGAACAAACTTCCACTAACACATTTCAAGGCATCGCTCAAATTACATAATCTCAGTTTAAGACCATTTCACAAAGTAATTAGGCCCCACCAAAATTGAAAGCTGCAGTAACTTTAAGCCACAGCCATACCCGTGTGCATGCACTCATGTGAAAGTATCGCACACACTAAATTGCACTGAGGCCGTGACAACATGCAACTTAGTAATGTGCAATATCTCCACCAGAGCAAGCAGAATGGGAGCTTCAGGGAAGAAGGGTATGGTGCATTCAGGAAGAGAACAACATGCTGCTCAGGGAAAGGAAAATGGTTCAGGCAAAGGTGTGCATGCTACTACTTTGGAGATCCATGAGTTGGAGAATTACTGCTTCATCCATTCAGGAAGAAAAAAAAAAAAAGAAACCGAGACAAAAGCATCCCCTCCCTGTTTCAGGGGTAAATGATTTCCCCTCAAGCCTCAAGATACTAAATTATCAATATAAATATATTTACAATGAAAAAACTCACTAACTAGTATTGTGAACTAAAATTACCTAAATCCATAAACCAGTCCAATTGGTTCCCACATTTCTAAAGCAAGTAATCTTCCTAACCTTGACTGAGTGTGCAGCCAAAAAATTCCTGGAGCTCAACCTACTCTGGCACAAACCCTCTGCCACACTCACCAGTCCCCTCCCTATACTCCTTTCTCCACTGGTTTCTGTAGCTGACTTTTAGTAGTTTCAGTGAAAGAAAATAATGCATTTATTATTTTAACAGGCTACTAAACACTATTGCCAATGATGTAGACTCTTGCACATGATGAGGATGCAATACAACTTTTATAATTCATCACATTTTTGTGCTGTTATCAACTTACATAATATGAAAAAAGGAACAAGTAAAAATTAAACCAGCAAAAAAAAGGACAGAAAAGCAGGAAGGATGAATGTCAAAATGCAAATGGAGCATTTATCAAGAAGAAGAAATAGCATAAAGACATAATAAAATAACTTTTTAGGCTAGGAGATCAATTCTTCAGTAAATATTTTAAATGGCGCAACATTATCTTAACAAAGTCACTGATCTCCCCTTGTCCAGCTAGGACAGTCACCTCCACAAAGTAAGGCTCCTGTTGCTTCTGGCACGACTCGTCCTTGGTGAAGCTGTTCTGTTGGTTCTGTGGTGTCATATTGTCCTATGTCTGCTTCCAGTTCATCATCTGTCATTTACTGCCCTGTACTTGTATCACTATGTTACTGTTATGGTTTGGGAGACCCTGGCATGGTGTTCTACGCCTACAGACAGGGTCCTTAGGACCCTGAAAGACTGGAAGAGGTCAGTATTCCCGCCCACTTCCTGTCACAATCTATAAAAGCCAGGAGAGCTGGAAGTTGGCCCTTTTTCCCTTCTTGCTCTTTTCTCCCTGCTGGGGCTGGTGCTGGTTCCTTCAGCTTCTCAACGTGCTCGCTCCAGAATCCAACTGCATCAGGTTCTGTGAGGAGCTGTGGAGCTCTCCCCTGGAGCAGCCCTGCCTTTCCCATATCCCTACACTCATCAAGATCAGTTTTGTATATAAATACTTATCTGTTCTTCCCCCATGTTCTACCCTTTTTCCTTGTGTTATAGTAAATTTGTTTCTAATTTCAATTTCCAAAGTTTAAGTCTCTTCCTTATTCCCCTTCTGTCTTCCCTTGGGAGGGCAGGAAGGGAGGGGTGGTAGTAATAGCAATTCTGTTCTATGTTTTTTTGGGATTCACCTTTAATATTTAAACCAGGACAGCTACCAAGCAATCTCTTGTGCCAGGCATGGCACTAGTTGCTCTTAGCAAAGCTCTGTTCATTCCCAGCACCGGATATGTGCTGCTGGCATTTTGCCTCCTTTCTGTCCTGCACAAACACATTTCCTAGGAAAGGCTGGGAGGGCATTCTAGCCCATGGCTTGCAGCAGTCAAGTCTTGGATTCCCTTCAGCTTCTTTACAACTCCTGCAGTAACACCACAACTGCATCTTTCTTTTCCCACTACTGAAGTGCAAATTTAACATCTGAAGTATTATGACAGAAAGAGTCAGATTCAACATGTGGCTTAAAATAGGCTGGAAAGGTGTTCTTACCCCAATATAGCTCATAATCAATCCATGCATACAGGGAATTGTGACTGTCTTTGAAACTTTCCCCGTTGTTCTCCTCCTCACAAATAAAAGACAAAGGATCAAAAGAAACAAAATTCCTTCACCATATCCAGGTTCCCTAGTGCTTTTCATAAACACATTTTAAGAGAAACTGAAGTGACTGACAACATGGGATGGCTACTTTCATGTTTGGTCCATGAACAACAGAGATAAAATTGCAGGAGGATCCCTGCCCCTCAGGATAGACTAGTTAGGTGTACTCTTAGCTTTGTGCATGTGCTATGTCCTGCTGA